TTTCAAAATGCTTCAACGAAATCATTGCGAAAGTTTGTACAATCAAGCTGCGGGTGTGGGGTGTGGGTGTGGCTGCGGGTGTGGGGTGCGGGTGTGGGGTGCGGGTGTGGGTGTGTATCTTGTTTAAATTCATACGCACGACCACCCACACCTACACCCCACCCACACCCAATCCTATGTGACTTGCTGTAGAAAATCAGTACGTGATTACGAAAATCACATCGTAGTATATTTGGGGAGTAAGGAGCTACATCATTCTATTTTTTTTTTCGATTTAAAATTGAAATAGAGAATAAGATATTCACAAATAGTTTTCAATAGCAGGGTGAACTCAATGGTATGATGGAAAAAGAAAGAAAAGAAAAATGTCGAAAGGAAAAAAGTCGAAAGAAGAATATCGAACGGAAAAATATAGAAAAGGAAAAATATTGAAAAAAGAATGTATCAAGTCAAAATAATATTAATTTTATCTTAATTGGAAATAAATAATATCGAAAACAAATCTGCTGAATAAGGAAATAAAATACGTCAATGCATGATACGCATCTTCAATGGTTTATGTACTAATTAACCATTGAAGATTTCGTTTTTCTGAAAGTCAATATTTGTAGTTAAAAGCATAATGAAATCGCATCTATAATGTGAAAGCTTAGATGTAACAACTATGATTGTGTGAATGAAAAACAATTTATGTTATTTTGCAGATTTCTAGCATCTCAAAAAGTGAGAAGTTGAAGGTGATAAGTATTTGAAATTGTTTTGCATTATTCAATAAATGTGACTAAGGAAGTCTTCAATCAAAACCAAAACATTGTAGCTTCCTACCTCTTTAAATTTGAAACGCATCTTCTATTTTCATATGGATGGTAAGCTGTCGTATTTGATGGTTTTGCTTATTTTAAATAAGGACTCTGCTAATCATTAAAGAGGAGTTTTCTTCTTACTAAAGAGAATACATCTGATGAGAAAAAGTAGTCATTTTATCTACAGTGAGTAAAACCAACTGATTCTTGTTGGGGTATTAGTGTATTCTTAAATAAAACGCTTCAATAATGGACTCATTGCAACACTTGGCGTATGTTTGACATTCCAAAAGTAGAAATAAAAAGAGGGTAATGCTACCGAAACGTTAATGTTTCCTTTATCGAATAAAAATAGTCGCTTGATAGTGATGTTTTCTTTTCTACTTGTTCGCCTGCCACATATTTTTCGACATTTTTTCTTTCGATGTTTTTCTTTCTATATTTTTCTATTCGTTCTTTTTCCATTCGACGTTATTCTTTTCGACATTTCGTTCTCTTTTTCTTCGAGATTTCTCTTTTCGACAGTTTTCCTTTCTTTCTTTTTCCATCCATTCGACTCAATGGAACTTTCGATTGAGATATGTAACTATTTTATTTCTCAATACAAATATTGTGATTAAACTCAACGGTATAAAACGACCTTGAACATCAGTGTACTATGATGATGTTATTTCAAAATCAATCAAAAAGCACTGCACAGTTGGCTTGTTGCCACTCATTTTGATCTCAGTTTATTTGTCATATAAAGCAAAAAGAAAAAATAATTAAATAGAAAGAAGCGCTTTCTTTTGGCTTCATATTCAGTGCAACACACGATTCAATCTTTGGAATACTAAATAAGTGTGAATGTCAATAATAACATATAGGATTATATTGAAATTGAATTACGTATGGAATAAACAGCTCTAGGGAAGAAACTGAATAAATGAAAAAACTAGTTTTACCAGTTTTGGACTCTTTACTAGAATAGCATCTCAGTTAATAGGATAAGGTGAAGATGCGAGTGTGAGTATTCTCTTTGTTTCCAATCATTCACCTACACCCAAACCAGTGTTGTCGATTGTTTTGGGTAGTAGGAGAGTGGGGAGACTAAAACTTTCGCAGATTTTGACCTTCCTTCTGAAAGGTTCAAGACAAAGAAAGAGAATTTCTTTTTCTTAAAATAATCACCAGTGGGTGGAGTAGCTTTCGGCATCCTCTGTGTACCGAACAAAGAAGAAGGGTAGCTTCGAGAAAATTCCCCTACCAGTACTCAAATCCATCTTACCAGCTATATCGACAGTCACTATCTATTTCTTTTCTGTAGAAATACGCAGACAAATCGTACAAAAACTTGGCAGACTGAGTTGAATTTTTTAGGGGACGGGGTATTGCCCCCATACCCCTAATTGGACAGCCTGGCCCACATTCACACTCACACTCACATCCACACCCACACACCTACACACCAATATCCATACTCCCACCCACTCCAACACACACATCCACACATATACCCATACCCACCCAAAGAGACTGGACGCGCCTATCTGTTCATCTCTTACAATCAAGAACATTCAGACACTGACACATCCATAGCGAGAGCCAGAGCTACACCGATACCCACACCCTCAAGAACTGCTTTCTCTAAAGAAAGAATAAAGAAATATAATCCAATTTCTTAAGTATGCACTGAAGATTTTCTCTTAGTTCCATAACAATTTGAAAGCCATCTTGTTTTCAGTTTTCTTTACAATCAAACCCTTTGCAAAGTCGAAAAATGTTTCTTCTTATAAGCAATAAATAAATGTGAAGTTTCACTTTCAGAATTTTTGAAATTCCTCTATTATCTAAACACAATGCTTTGTGCGTCCTATCGCTCTCCTCTCTCTAATAATTCATATACCTTCAAAGTATAGTCAAAGAAAATATTCATTTCATAGAAAAATAGGATATTTCCTGTGACACAATACTATGCATAGATATGGATTAAATTGATGTTGGTCAATGAAAACACAGTCGCTAAATATATTTCAATCGATTAAAAACGTGATTCTTTATGTTTTTTCTGTGATTCATTGGTTTCATCAGAGAACTCCTCTTGGTTGTTTATAATACCGATACAATCGGAGTTTATTTTTGATCCTGATAGTTTTCTTTGAAACCGAACGAGTTTGCTTTCTAGATAAGGTTGGTTAAACGATCCATGCGATGATGAACGACTACGTGATTGAATTGTCATTGTACACACCGAATTCGATCGCTGTTTTTCTAAATTGTGTGTATGTAAACGTCGTTGCAGTTCAACATCGAATAGATCATGCCATTTTGGAGGAAGATGTTTGATAATACTTTCATAGAATGATATTTGTTCCTCTTGGGCAGATTTCTGAACACCGTACGGTTGAAAACGATAAAAATCTGCAAAAGATGGTGGATTTTCTTCGCACATATCGAGAAGATCATTGACCAAACATAACACTTTTACTTCACTGTCTGGAGCAGTTAGCTGACGATCTGTTGCATTGAAGATATCTAGGTTAAAGTCTTTGGCTAGCATTTGTAAATCGTTCAAATCGGCGAAAGTGCTCGAGTCTATATGTGAGGGTAGATCAGTGTGACTTGATAATCGTTTATCTGGATGAGTTGGGTTTGTTCTCCTTGATTTCAAGAAACTACTAATCGATTTATTGAGATTTGATACACTAAATCTTGGTGTTGCCAAATGATTAGCACCTGTAATACTTTCAGTATCATATATGATCTTGTTGTAATCTCGCGCAAGTTTTACATCATGATGAAAAAATTCCTTTATATCTTCATTATCTTGATGAAGTGGAACAACTTCTTTGATACGAAGAATAATCAACGCCATGCTGATGATACAAACAATATTAATAGCAGTCAAGAGTAAACTACAACCACCGAGAATAATAGCTTCTATTACCATATTACACGAATAGAATGGAATATATTCATTGTGAATATATTTTGAACAGTTTACAATTGGATCATGAGGTCGTAGATGATGTCGAAATTGAAACCAATGAGAAGTATTCGAATCATTCGTGTGATTCACAAGAATGTTGTTCAAAGAATAACTAATAGATGAAAATCATAGAAAAGTGATTCTCCAATAGCATAATCCTTACTGTGTGACAGCAATACTCGGAAACAAACGACAAAGAAGAGCATATGCAAACAGTAAACCACAATTGACAGCAGGTGAAAGCAGAGTAGCTAAAGAACTAAGTAGATACATCGACATAAATCAACTATAATTTACAAACCAGATATTGCAACACCAACCAATGAAGCTAGAAACAACAGAGTACAATGATATCAATATTCTTTTGATCAATTCTTACCTACGTTGCCACCAAGAATCGATAATGCTACCCCGGCACCACTAGGCAATGCAACAAGAGCACTCATCCACAAACGATTAATATCACCGCGTGATTTCATTTCAGATGTTGGAAAACTCGATGAACTGCCCCATTTTGTTTCTATATGAGTAGTACACAGTCTAAATGAATCAATATAAAGTTTTTAAAAAGTATCAATAAACAAAAGAGTCATTAACTTGCCCAATAGTAAAACCTAATACTATACATAGAAGAAGGCCAATCAATTCGTTTCGAACACCACTTTTCCATAAATAATCATCATGAATTGATAAACCAAAGACTATACCCATGATAGGATTCATCAATGGGCTAACTAGCATACTTGCCACAATAATAACTGATGAGTTCTCGAGTAGACCAAAAGCAGCAAGCATTGATGCAAGACTAAGAAGAACGATAAAGTCAAATGATAGAGTGGTTGCAGCACGAATACCAGCAACCACCTGATGCACCATAAGTCGAGCTCGAACACTCTTCTTGAAATTGGATATATCTATTTGTTGATAAAATTTACGTTTCGCCATTGTACTCTCAGCGGAATTCAATGTAAACCCGTTAGGTATAGTCGAGTTATCCACAATATTGTTTTTGTTGGTTGTTGTGTTTAATATCGACTTGGCACGTTGCGCACTAATAATGAGTGTAGCGGGAACAACACATATTTGACTTCCATTTTTTATTCCAATTTCTAGTTTATTGAGATCACGTAAGATTCGATCACTGACAACTCCAAACTCAGCATAAAATGTAACTTGATATTGAGTGTGGTCCTTTGATACTATCCATACTGGTGCGATGTCAATTTTATCAGTCAGATATGCCTCTAAGCTAGCACAAAGAGATGGCCGTACACTCTGAAATGTAAAAAAAAAGTAGAAGTTAACAATGTTAATTTGGTAAATAAAGTAAAAATATTTTTCTACTTGTAACTCATGTTAAAGCAAATAGAATTAGTGTTGTATATACGAATTTATGACACACATCAATTCTTGAGGCATGACATACATTCCTAGTGAATCCACATACTACTGGTCGAAAACAAAACATATCCGATGG